TACTGTTTTTTTCTTCCTTATCCCTATTTTCCACACAACTTCCTTCTGACATTCTCTTTCTACTCTCCTGATGCTGAATCGCTTGTACAGCTACTTAGAAGCTGTATGTCTCATCTGATGACATCATTATCACAGACAGCAAACACCAGTACAAAATGCAATGGTGGTGTTTGTGTTTTTGTAAGCCTATAAACTAGATTCCATAAATTTATTACCATATATAAATAGGAGCAAACACTCTCTAATCATAAAGTCATTATAACAGAGCTGATCACAGTATAACGTGGAATCTTGCTAAATAGAAAATCTGTTCGTTTGCAGAATCAAATTAATGTTATCAAGATCTACTACAGTAAACTGCACCACTAATGTAAGCAAAGGCATAATTGAACTAAATTTTGAATAATAAATTATTAACTAAAAATATCTTTGATAAACACAACCTATGCAGACCAAATGTAAAAGATACATAGCACCCTCTACCGATAACTGATTATAAAGTGAGGAATTTTTTTTCTGGCTCATAATTCAGCTTTGTAAGAACACTGAGTAAACATAAGCTAGTTGAGCAATCATATAACACAGAGAATGTTTTAGTATAACCACATAGCACCAGAAAAATCTTCTTTCTCCCTCTCTGATTAGTCAGTAACAGTTGCCTTGTACCACTGACGATTTGGCCCAAGGTATTCAAATATAACCCAGCCTAAGCCTAATTTGTTAAGGATTAGCTAGCCTTGAGTCCGGACACCTCTCAAGGTAAGCCCATTATCCAGGCACGCCACAAAGAATTCCCTGTTAATCAAGCTGTTTTGAAGTCTTGGCTAAATTTAATTTTAACCTGCATATAGGAGAAAGGACAAGGAACCTTGTAACCAATGTCACAATAGTGACAATAACAAAGCACCTTCCTCCTGGTCCTCACATGCTTAAAAGCAGAAAGATGCCACTAGACTGCTTCAGACAGCTGTCTGGCTCACTACAAGGCTTAACAGTGTGTAACAAATATCCACAGCAATAATAAATAATATAGCTGAAACCTATTTGTAACACTCACTAAAACACCACTCGTAAGTCAAAGCAGCTATGGCTGTGATGTTTGACCAAGAGCCAGAGTGAAGGGAATCTCCCCATCTGCACATCCAACAAGCAATCACTTCTGAGGTGTTGGTCTGAGGTGCATTCAAAGCACTTGCCGAACTGAGATCTGAGTGATCCGCTTGTACAAGAGCCAGCTAGTGCTAACGACATAGCCGGAACTCCAAATTCCCTTACTTTTGTGCTCTTTCAAAACAGTCACTGTGGTACCAATTCAGGTGTCTCAAGTGACATTGAAAGTATCGGATCAACAGCAGCCCATTGCTCACTGATGGCACCTCCATTACTCAATGTCATTGCTGATGTCTTCCTACCACTACCTCAGAAGCTTTGCTCCTTCTCACCTAAAATGGCCTTCCTGCTATTTCATGTCCCAATCACTTTTACACCTCATCACACAGGCCTCTTGCTACATCTCTACTCATTGCTCATTAGGTCTCCACTACAAAGCTGCCAGCACTAATCTGACCAGAGTATTGCACAATTCAGGACTCAGATTAAATCCACTAGTTGTGGATATTGCTTTTTTTAAGCAGCAGATGATTCACAGCTCCCAATTGTACTACCAAATAACAAGAGTTAGACTAAAAAGCAACTGAAAAGTATGTAAAAAAATTGAAATATGCAAAAGCAATAGCCACATTAAGACCAGATAATTATGGGACAAACCTGATCACAGCAAACATGGAAAAAAACATGAAGAGGTGTCAATCTTCACTTTTTTTGGTAAGAAATTAATAGTTTCAAAAAGAATACAATTACTTCAGAAAGCACATTTTAACTTTCCTTAGTGTTTACTTCTGAGGGGAGCTCGAGCTGCAGATGAAATCTCTCTTGTTCACATTTTGCTACTCATGCAACAAGATTTAGGGAGAATTTTTTTAACTAGCAATAACAACACCCCTAATGGTAAGATAGAATACCCGAGCTGCCAGAATGTAAAAACTGGATGTACTGACATAATAGGCAGAAAAGGATAAGATCGCTGTTAAAGTTTTGTAACAGATTACAAAGTGAGCAGTGATACATACTAAGTTCATTAAGTGAGATACTACGTAGGACAGAAAGGTCTTGTAAAGCATATTACCAGCAGCGTTGTGGGCATCATGAAGGCAGGAAGTTATGAACACCTTCTTACTCAGGTGTAAGAATAGGATCCACTCGGTACACTGAATACTTCTCAGCATTCAGATTTTTTTCTTTTGATAACAAGCACGAAAATCGATAATTTGTAAGCCTATTACATTTCAGAACAAAGATAAAGGTATAACTACTTTAAAAGCAAACAGCATGTACCAGCTAATAAACTAGAGAATGCATTTTGAGAAGTACTCAAGAGAACTACTCCCAAGAAGGAAGTGATAAGACAAGAGGAAATGGCCTCTAGTTGCTCAAGGGGAGGTTTAGATTGGATAGTAGGAAAAATTTCTTCACCGAAAGGGTTGTAAAGCATTGGAACAGGCTGCCCAGGAAGTAGTTGAGTCACCATCCCTGGAGGTATTGAAAAGACGTGTAGACGTGGTGCTTAGGGACATGGTTGAGTGGTGGGCTTGGCAGTGCTAGGTTTATGGTTGGACTTGATGATCTTAAAGGTCTTTTCCAACCTAAACGATTCCATGATTCCAAGACGCAGCTTTACTGGAATTAATGCACTAACAGCACCCATGGTTTCATTATCTCCAGAGTCTTATAAATATCTCTTTTAGCTCTCCTTACGAAAAAGCGGGGGAGGGCCGAGAAGCCAGCCCCAGAAGCTGTCGGAGGACCGGAGCTCCCAGTCCCGAGCAGGATTTTGCTGCCATCGTGCGGCAGCCCGGCCCCCTCCCACCTCCCGCTCTCCTGCTGACAACACTCGCTTCCCTGCTCTGTGCTCAGGGAGTGAGACAGGGGCTAGAAAACCCTACAAACACAGGAAAGGATTTTAACTGGCCAAGCTAACCCAAGGGGTTCCTCCTGTCCCTAGCAAGCCAGCACGAAAACGCTACTGACTTTGTAAAGAGGACTGTTCGGGAAAATCAGTGGCTTCATAATCCAAACACTAGCCATTTTCAGCACACACGCCACGCTCGTCTATGTGTTCAAGCAGCACTACGCTCAGGTGACCGGCTCGTCTGAAGTCACTGAATCCCAAAAGGAACTACATGACATTTCTCGCATCCATTTCCAAACGTGCTCGGCTGCAGAATTGCACGACCTGCCAAGCAGCTTTAAGAAATCTTTAAGAGTCAGCAGCCTATTACTAGAGCAGCGGGCGATCTTTGTTATTTGGGTCACCTTGCTGAGAAAGATAAAGATGTTTTAGCAACATAGTATTTTGTCATTCTAAAATGGCATTTTGAAACACTAAAATTAAAAAAAAAAAAATAAATCTACTTATAAGTCTGCTTTCTCCTATGGGGAATAAAGTTCAAAGGTTTAGGGAATTTTCCAGCAGCGAACATATTAAAGTATTAATGGCTTTATACAGGAAACACACAGTATCGCTAAGGCATTCAGATAGATACTTTCATATAGTATAATGCACTCAAGAAGCTTATTCAGGGATGTGAATGTAAATCAAATAAGTTAACTCATTGATTTGAAGTTCTCTCTTTTGCCCAGAGCCAGAAACACTAGCACTCCACAGCTGTACTGGCAGGTAACTCAAATTATTTTCTTAGTACTTGTTAGTCAGTTAGTTGTGCTGCAACTACATCTTTTTAACCTACTGGTCTTGCTGTTGCAAAAAAAAAAAAAAAAGCAAAAAAACAAACAACACAAAAATCCTGAAAACAAACAAAAAATTTAATTTCAAATTTTTTTCTTAATGAAGCTCTCCATCTGTATTGCAAAGCATTTCAGGCCCAAACTACAACATATCTTCTTAGAAGCCTGGTTTTAGTGTCAGAGCCTCATCTAAAAAAAGTGAGGAGTTTAGAAGACTAACTGCTGAGACAGAGCATGCAAAGTGCAATATGAATGCATTAATCCTACTGCTATGGATGAACTATGTGTAATAATAAAACATACATAAATACAATTACATATATAAAATAAGTATATACATAAATTAAAAAAGATACATGACCAAGAAAGAGAAGGCTCAAACTGGAATAATTATTTTTTAAAGGTATACAGTAAGTTATACAACTGTAGATACACAACTGATTTCAAGTGAAAGCCCAAATGTCTCTTAGGCAGGAAGGAGAATCTGCAGCTAAGATAGACGTTTTTTTCTCAGGCTGGACAATCATTCTTTCTGCTCCAGTACTCAGATATTTCAGCTGCATGCCATACATCCATTTCTGCAGCCTATCTTACATATTTATTGTAAACTCCAGCTTCTGTTACACATACACAGCGCAGCAGCCTCCTGATGCAATTTATGGCTACTGCTGACTGTTGCCAGACTCATGAAGTGATGGACTGCAGCAAGAGGTCCAGCACTTAAACCTATATATTATGCATTTGAACGAATTAAATGCTTTTGTATCATGAAGTTGAATTGCTGTCGGTAGAAACTTGGACTGTTCTGAAGAGACACCAACTCTATCTATTTAAAAGCAATACACACGTTTAACAATACCATCCTGCACAGAACTGGGATTTTCAATATTTTTCAGTATTTTCTTCTCAGGAGTTTAACACAGGAGAAAAGGAAATGGGTTCAAGAAAACAAGCAGCATTCTTATAAATTGCTTTCGCTAAAACCCAAAGTATTTCTTGAAAGAAATATAAATGGCCAAACGCTTCCATAGTTTGTGTGGGCACAACTCCAGTTGGCTTCAGAAGATCTAATACTTGATTTGAGAGACAGCATTGGCCCATGCTCAAAAAGCCATTAGCTTTTTTCTACTTCATAGATTTCATAGATTTCTAGGTT